CCGGGGTGGAGAACAGGGCTCATTCCATCCTTGCACCAGCCTCCAGGAATTCGTGCCTCTCTGGGTGTCTGCAGCAGCCCCTGGGGCCGGCAGGGCAAGGCCAGGCCATTGGCACCGGTAGGGCGGCTGGGGCGGACTCAGATGGAGCTGATTAATTTATCCAGGTTCCTGGCAGGAAACAGACAGGGAGCAGCTGGCTGGCTCTTTGGTGCTCCGTTAATTGTGACAATGACTTTAACCCCAGATGTGACACCACGCTGCCCAGAGGCCCTGGCTGCAGTGGGGGGCACAGGGGGGCCCTGTAGGGGTAGGGGGTGTAGAAGGCATCAACTCTCGGGTGAGGCTGGCACACCGCGGACCTCTTCCCCAGGGGGCCCGGAGGCAGGCGCCGGTGGGCTGGGAAGATGCTGCTGGGTCAGCGTTGTAGGAGTCCTGTTCCTCTGGTGCCTTGCTGGGCCAGGCCCAAGCCAAAGCACTTGGCAGCCTACGTCTTTCGTCCTCTCGAGCCTCACTGAGGCGGGCCTGTCTGAGCCCCATTTTACAGGGGTGGGCACTGAGGGTAGAGGCCACGTGGCTGGCCAAGACAAGGAGAGATGGAGGGGCTTTTGTCAGACTTCAGACCCCCGAGGCCCCACTCCAACCCTTGTGAATTACTCAGAGCCCCACAGATTCTCAGAACATCATGAGGAGCAGTTTTTACCTCCCACCCCCCTTAAGTAAGAGGATCTCTAGTTCAAGGGCAACTGCCCATAGTGGCCCAAGAAAGGACAGCAAGGCATTGCATCTCTGGCCGAGCCAAGGCAGGGACCCGAAGCCCGTCCCCTCCATCTGCCCTCAGCCCCCAGCCCCTCCTTGGGGCCATCAGGAGTCCACTGAACTCAGCCCACAATAACTGCTTCCGGCCAACCAGCATTCTGCAGTTGAGGAAGCCGGGGCCCAGAGAGGAATGGGAGCTTGCCCGAGGTCACACAGCAGGTTAGAGACCAAGAGGTCTTGATCTCTTGGCTTCTGGCTCATTTGTCAACATTGGATCTTGGAGGTGAATCTTCTGTGTCCAAACTGGGCTATTTGGTGCTCGCGGGACATTGCTCATACCCTCCCTGCAAGAGCTTCCTGCTTCAGCCTGCAGGAAGTTCCACCCCCCTCTGGATGCCCATCCTCTTTGGCATAGAGCGCCCAACCACCTTGTCTGATGCACTGTGAGACGGTCAAGGGGAGCGAGTATTTCTGGCATGTCGCTTTCCTTGTTTTAAAAAAAGTTGTGGTAGGGGCACCTGGGTGGGTCAACTGGTTGAGCGTCTGACTCTTGATTTCGGCTCTGCTCATGATCCCAGGGTTGTGAGATCGAGCCCCGCGTAGGCTCTAAGTGTGGAGCCTGCTTGGGATTTCTCTCTCTCTCTCTTTCTCCCTCTGCCCTGTCCCCCCGTTCACTCTCTCTCTAAAACATTAAAAAAAAAAAATTTAATGAAGCCGTTGAACTGGGTTTAAAAAAACAATTGTGGTGAAATACACATAACATAAAATTTCCGAACCACATTCTAACCGCTTTTTAAGTGTACAATTCAGTGGCATTAAGTACATTCGCTGTGTTGTGTGACCATCACCACCACCTATCTCCAGAACTTTCATCTTCCCAAACTGAACCTCTGTCCGCATGAAACACCAGCCTCCCGTTCCCCAGCCCCCCGGCCCCTGACAACCACCATTCCATTTTCTGTTTCTGGATCTAAGTGCCTCATATAAGTGGAATCATAAAATATATGTTCTTTCACTGGCTTATTTCACTTTGTAGAATATCCTCAAGGTTCACCCATGTCGTAGCATGCATCTGGATTTCCTTCCTTTTCAAGGCCGAATAATATCCCATTGTTTGGATATACCGCATTTTGTTTACCCATTCATCCAACGATGGACCCATTTGGGTCATTTCTACCTTTTCGCTGTTGTGAATAATGCTGCTGTGAACATGAGTGTGTAAGTATTTGTTTGAGACCCTGCCTTCGATTCTTTTGTGTATATGTTCCCAGAAGTAGAGTTGTTGGACCGTAGGGTAGTTCTATTTTTGACTTTCCGAGGAACCTCCATACTGTTTTCCACGGTGGCTGCACCATTTTACTTTCCCACCAACAGGGCACAGGGGTCCAGTTTCTCCACGTCCTCACCAACATTTGTTATTTTCTGTTGTTTTGATAGTAGCCATCCTAGTGTGTGTGTGTGTGTGTGGAGTGGTATTGCATTGTGGTTTTGATTTGTATTTACCCTAATGATTAGGGATGGTGAGCATCTTTCCATGTCGTATTTGACCATCTGTATATATTCTTTGGAGAAACGTCTATTCAAGTCCTTTGCCCATTTTTAAAATTGGGCTGTTTGGTTCTTTGTTGTTGAGTTGTAGGAGTTCTTTATATATTCTGGATGTTAATCCCTTATCAGACACGTGATTTGCAGGGATGTTGCCTTTCGCTCTGTTGACTGTGTCTGATTTATTTCTGGATCACTGATAACCTGGCTAGCGCCTGGCCCAGAAACCACCACATTCAACGTCCCCACATCCTAGTACTCCCTTTCTCAAGGATCTGAGGCATAGTCAGGTTCACGAATTAGAAAGATCCCTCTGGCAACTGATATGGAAACTGGACCCGTGGGCTCCCTGAATCACCCAAACAGAATACCCCCAAACTGCCCCTCCCCGGGAGTGTTTGGAGTTGCCATGTAGAAACAAGGTTGGATTTTGTAGCCTTGGCATCAGTTCCAGTACTGGCTCCACCAGTCACCAGCCGGGTGACCTCAGACATGTGGCTCACACGTCTGAGCCTGTCTTTGCTCCAATGCAGCAAAACACGCTTTCCCAGAAGGATGTGGAGCTCTCTAGAGTGCCTGACGGCTGTGACAGTCCAGTAGGAGGTCAGCACCCCAAGGGCAGAGACCCAAGTTCCATCTTCTTCCCCGGGATGCCCCTGGGGCCATGCATGTTGCATGTGGCACGTGGCCGGGGCGACCGGCAGGAGAGGGCCAGGTGCTGCCTCTCGCCTCAGCGCTGTGCTCTCTCTGCCCGCAGTGGGACTCCATCAACGAGGTGGACGAGTCTTTCCAGCCCATCCACACGTACCAGGTGTGCAACGTCATGAGCCCCAACCAGAACAACTGGCTGCGCACGAGCTGGGTGCCCCGGGACGGTGCCCGGCGTGTCTACGCCGAGATCAAGTTCACCCTGCGTGACTGCAACAGCATGCCCGGCGTGCTGGGCACCTGCAAGGAGACCTTCAACCTCTACTACCTGGAGTCGGACCGTGACCTGGGCGCCAGCACGCAGGAGAGCAAGTTCCTCAAGATCGACACCATTGCGGCTGACGAGAGCTTCACGGGGGCTGACCTGGGCGTGCGGCGCCTCAAGCTCAACACGGAGGTGCGCGGCGTGGGCCCCCTCAGCAAGCGCGGCTTCTATCTGGCCTTCCAGGACATCGGCGCGTGCCTCGCCATCCTGTCTCTCCGCATCTACTACAAGAAGTGCCCCACCATGGTGCGCAACCTGGCTGCCTTCTCGGAGGCGGTGACGGGGGCCGACTCGTCCTCGCTGGTGGAGGTGCGGGGCCAGTGCGTGCGGCACTCCGAGGAGCGGGACACGCCCAAGATGTACTGCAGCGCCGAGGGCGAGTGGCTGGTGCCCATTGGCAAGTGCGTGTGCAGCGCTGGCTACGAGGAGCGGCGGGATGCCTGCGTGGGTGAGTGCGCCACGCGGGGGGCGGGGGGGGGGTGGCACGTGGGCTCAGTCCAGGCGGGGCGTGGGGGCCGTGGCGGTCGGCAGGGATCCGGGCGGTGAGCTCAGCACCTAGGAAGATGGGTGACCCTCCAGGGTTCGTGGGTCAGCGAATACAACAGGCCGCCGCCTGTGTGCGTGGGAGCGGGAGCGTGTATGTGTGTGTGTGTGTGTGTGTGTGTGTAGCAGGGGAGAGAGAACGGAGGCAGGCACGCCGCAGCCAGGTGGCGCCCTCTGTGGGCGCCGTGGAGGGGTACGTCTAAGCACGCCCGTGTGCTCGGGCACATACCTGTGCGAGGGAACGATTCTAGGAGCTCATGTGCGTCGGGCATCATTTTAGGCACTTTTCACATATTTACTCATTTAGTCTCCGGGCCTCCCCTGTGACATAGAAGCTACTCTTATCCTGGTTTCATAGACAAGGAGACGGAGGCACAGAGAGGCAGAGGAACTTGCCCGGGGGCACACAGCACAGGAGTGGCAGAGCTGTGACTTGAACCCAGAAGTCTGGCACCGGAATCTGTGCTTAAAACCGCCAAACTTGCACGGAGTGGAGGGAAGTGGAACCAGTCCGTGGGTGAATGAGTGCAGTCTGGGGCACCCAGGGGGTACTCTCTAGGTTGGGTGTGTCACTGGGGCACCTGGACCAGCCTGCCGGTGATTGGGGGTGGATCTTACCCAGGGACCTGTGGGAGGGGACAGCCAAGGTCCTTGTGAAGGGGAAGGCGGAGAACGCAGCAGCATGGCACCTGTCTCCCCATGAGCATGCTGCTGGGGTTCCCATGCCAGAGACTGAGAGCAGGACCCACACCCCAGGCTGCGTGGACGTGCCTCATGCTTGCACTGTGCCCCTCTGGGGGCAGTGTCACGAGGCATCCCAAGCACCCGGGTCACCGGGAGAGTCGGCTGGACAGACAGCTGGTGACCCAGCTGTACTGGTCTCCTCCTGGTTGCCCTCTGCCCTTCCTCGGCCTCCCCGGGGGCTGGGCACACGGCAGCGCAGCCACTCAGAGCATAGTGAAGCCTGCTGTTGGGACCACTGGTTCTCCTGGGGAAGGAGGAGGTTCCTGTGCAGGGAGCAGAGAGACTAGGGCCTGGCCCCAGATAGGAATTGGGACGGGGCCCATCCCTCGGCCCCAGCAGGCAGGCAGGGCCCCTCAGTGCTCACAGGACTGAGGAGGGCACAGGCTGACAATTTCCGGTGATGCTCAAGGTAGTTCTGTGGGATCAGGATCTCCCGTCCAGCCACTAGGCCCTTTCCAGCCCCTCTCGGGGGGCTCTGATTTCCTTAAGAAGTCCTTCTTCGCACTCCCAACTGCTGTGAGTCTTTGCTTCTCCAGAACCCTAACCCCCAAAGCACCTTCTGTGACATTTTCCTGTTTCTGGACTTGCTCTATCACCTGTGGCCTAGTTTGCTCTCAGGCTTCCAGGCTCCCAGCCTCTCCTGGCTCCTATCACAGCCATCCCTGTGCTTCTCAACTTCCCACTGGGTAATTACAATAACAAACACCCCCGTTGCCTTTACAGCTCACAAAGGGATGCTCACACATCAGTTCGTTTGCTCACTGTAGCAAGGCAGGTATTACCATTCCATTTTACGGATGGGAAAACTCAGGCTTAAGAGGTAGTGTCGCTGCATAGGCCTCCCGGCTGGTGACAGGTAGAGCTGGGGCCTGAGTCAGGTCTGTCTTGCTCGGAGCCATGTGTAGGTGCGTAACCTATCCCTGGCCCAGCACCAGCGCTCTCCCTGCCTGAGCTGGCTTCCGACGTCCCCTCATTCCGGTGCGGATAATAAAGTCCCTTAGCGACAATTGGTTGAGCGTTTGCCACGTGAATGAGTGCTTCTTACTCCTCACGGCAGTTACTCATTCTGTTGAGCATCTAGCGTGGCCCAGGCACGGGGGTTTCGGCACAGGGTGTCCGTGCAGCCGGGGAATTCACACACTTTCTCATGCTTACAAAAGTCCTCTGAGTGAGGTCACGTCTCCCCATCTTACAGATGCAACAAACTAAGCCCCTTCCACCTAAGTCACAGAGTAGGGCTCTGATCCCAGGCTGGCTCCCTCCAGAGCCCTCAGCTGCTCCCTCTGTCCCTAGAGCCTTCTGCCAGACCCCACCGCCCTCCTCTCTGGGGTAACATCAGAGCAGTTAGGAACTGGCATAGCACAGGCCATAATAATCAGGCCAGCTGCTCAGCGGATACCTGCTCAAGGTCAGCCGCTGGCCCCAACTCTGGTGCAAGTAAGCCCCTTGTCTGTCCAGCGTGCCGTGGGACACACTTGCTCGTGGGAGGGAGACTGGTCTTCCTGACTGGGGGATCGGGGGTCTCCGGTCCTGCTCCAGCCGCCTTGTTTGACAGGGGTGGGGAGTGGAGCCCAGAGAGGGAGTGTGTTTTGCCCAAGGTCCCACAGCGAGTCAAGGGCAGCACTCCTGGTAGAAGCTCCCAAGTCCCGGGCAGCAGGACCGTCCCAGGGCTGGGAGAGGCCGAGGCCAGTCTCGTTTCCTGGCAGCACTGGCACACTAATAAAAAATAACAAAGAAATGTCAAAGCGGGGTCAGGCAATGGCAGCACATTTCGAATTTTACATCTAAATCACAATACAACATAATTATGCCAGTTGCGAGATAATTACAGGTTTTATAAAAAATATTAATTCCTAACGCACGGCAGGCAGTGAGGTTTGGGGACGGGATGCCAGTGGTAGGTGGCACGGGGAGAGACTTTGCTCACTCCTGTCGCGGGTTTCTGTGATGGTCTCTGTAACCTCCTTTGAGGAAGCAACGTGGGTCTGAAACTGAGCCCCCCCGCCCCCCCGCCAATGCGAGGCCCTGCCAGCGGTCCCCATCCTCACCCCTCCTTGGGTGGGTACCCTGAGAGTGGGGAGGCTGGGGGCCAAGCAGGAGCTGGGAACGGACTGGGGGTGCCCTTCTGGGCCGCTTGAGTTGTCCTCTCAAAGCTGCGGCTCCCCTCCACTGCCGATCCACCTGTGTGGGACTCCCTGAGGACCGTGGGCCCCTGGCTTCTCCATCAGACAGTTGTCTCTGAGCAAACCGTTGAGGAGGAAGGCTGGGCCCTGGGGTCCCCGCCTGCCCAGCCTGAACCCTCCACCTTCCTTCTTAGCAAAAGGAGAGGATCCAGAGCCTGAGGCCTGCAGCAGGGGCCGGCCCACGGCGATGGCCTCCCTCCCGGCCTCCCTTCCCCCTGGTTTCACCCTCACCGCTCTCCTCAGAGGTGGCCGGGAAGCACTCAGTTTGACAGAGAAGACAGTGAAAGCCCATGGGAAAGGGACCAAGCCAGTCGCCCGTCTCTTTGAGGCCTCACCGAGACCCCTCAGGCCTCAGAGACCCACAGAAGAACGTCAGAGCCAGGCGGAGCTCGTCCAGTCTGCCAGTAGGGAAACGGAGGCCCAGACAGGTGATGTGACTGGCCCAAGGGCACACAGCTAGGGGTGTGATTGCATCCCAGATCTCCCAACTCCTTGAGCAGAGCGGTCCCCTCACAACACAGTTCCAGACCCCCCAGCTGGCTGCAGCCCCCTCCCCGCCGGGAAGGGGAGAGACCTCTCAGAACATCACCCAGCAGAGCAGCAGCCCCGAGTCTGAAGTCCTGGTTGCCGTCCTTCCCGTCACCTGGACGCAGAATACAAACCACCCTCCGAGGCCCTAATCATTTTTCTATAAATATCAGAGCGTCTCGTTTCGGAGGGGGAGCGTGAGCGACGAGCTCTTTTGCCTTCCTGTGTTTAAAATCTGATTTAGAATTAATTTCCTTTGGTCATCCACCGGCAGACACCTTATTTGTCAAATCTCGGGCTCTTGGCGGGGGAGAGGGGAGAGGTGGTGGGGCCTCAGGCAGCTGCCGGCCTGACAGGCGGCCTGGGCAAGGTGCCCTCGGCAGGGGCAGCAGCCCCGCCTGGCTCCCGGCCGACACGCGGGCCACGCAGACTCCGGAAGCGCCCTGGGTCGACGGGCGGGGCCGGGCCCCTGCCCAGGGCCGCTCCATCTGTCTCGGCCATTAATTCCCGGCTCTGCCTCCAGGTCTCCGGGCTCCCCGAGGCCTGGTGATTAGTATTCTTATTAAAGATTATTTTATTTTCATTGCGCGGATTAATCTGGCTCTGACACGTTACAGCCATAAGGGTATTAGCAGAGCGCGTGAGAACCGCCCATCGGTGAGCGGCAGAATGGCCAGGCCGTCTCTAAGCCCCAGTCCATGTTGAGAGGCTGGTGGGGGAAAGGCCCGGGCTCCAGAGGCTCCCCCACCTGGGTTTGCATTCTGGCCCAGCGAGGAGCCTAGAGCAAGGCACTCCGCCGGCCGGTTTCCTCTCTGCCAAACAAATGTATTAATGGCAGCCACGTAGCATTGTGATAAGTGCCGGGCGCTGTCCTGACGTGAATTCACATGCCTTTGCTCATGCCATCCTCACAACAGCCCAGGGAGGTGGGGGACTATTATTATCCCCATTTTACAGATGAAGAAACTGAGGCCCAGCAGGCTGCCTAGCGTCCCTTCGCCTAGAGCAGAAGAGGAGCCCAGGCAGCCTGCTTCCAAGTTTCCGCTCTTAACTGACAAGAACCAGATGGACTCTGAACGGCCAGGGGCTCAAGACCCGCAGGCTGTCGTGCTGTGCTTGCTTTATGCCATGAATCACCCCAGGGTGTCACCATACGTGTGCTGTGTGCCTCTCACTGCTCCGATGGCACATTGAGAGCAGGACCGACTCCTCGTATCTCGGCTCCATGGTAGAATCTCAGTGAATGTGGGTGAAGGAATAAATGAGGGGAGGAATGAGCGAATGGTCCCCGAACTGCTAGCCGACATGGATCTGCTAACTATAGGGAGGGTCACTGTCATTCAGTTCAACAACAGGCTCAACAAATGTTTGCTGATGAAGCACAAAACTTCCTCTGCCCCATTCCTGGGCCTGGAGGAAGGCTCCTAGGCTGTGCCCCAGGGCTTTGTCTCCCGGAGGGCTTCTGGGAGGAGGAGGTGAGATCACAGTGTGTCAGCTAGGAGCCCCACAACCCGGAGCTCCCAGCGAGCCCTGAGCCCTCGTGGGTCTCTCCAGGGGGGAGGGAAGAAGTCTCAAAACTGAGGCACACGTTCGCCAACTCTCCAACCTGTGAGCCCCTTCTGGCTCCACCCCCTCTGAGTCTGGGAATCGGTATCATTTCTATCATTTCTCCCGATGCCGGGTTTTCTCTCAAGCCTGTAGCATTTTACAAATTAACTTGATTTTAGCTGTTATAATACACAGTGAACTTCCCGGTGGTCCCTGTTGCAAAGGAAGTCAGGTCCGTGGTGCAGCTGAGGACCACCCGGCTAGGTGGCATTTGGTCCTCCTTGAACTCCCGGGATCTCTCCCTGCTGCAGAGCAGATCACGGCGGGATTAGCTCACTTTGAAAACTTGGCACTGACCGCTTCTGCTCCGAGCCAGACTCTAGGAAGTTTGAGATGAATAGGGCAGCCCTGCCCTTGTTCACCAGGAGCTGCCCACAAGCACCTTCCGGTTTAGGAGGAGGGCCAGACGTACCGATACACAAGTACAGCCATAGTGTTATTGGTGGCAATACTGAGCAGGGACTGCAGAAGTGGGGCAGGGAGGAGTTGTTTCTACGCACCTGCATATGTGTGTGTGTGCGTACATGTGGAGGTATGGAGAAAGGCTTCGTTCCAAGGGACAGGAAGATGAATCTTGAGAGTTTGACAGGTGGACAAAAAGGACAAGCCATCCCAGGAAGAAGGCTTAGCACGTGCAAAGGCCCCGACGCAGGAAGCAACCTGCTGGGTGTGGGGAGTGGCTGGTCCTTTAGTTTGGCCTATGGATGGCGAGTGAGAGGTGACACTGGAGGAGGCTGCGGGAGGGCTGTGCCTGCCACACTTTATTGTTAGGCCGTGAGGGTGTGAGCCGGCAGTGACCAAGTCAGGTGTCGTTTTAGAGAGTTCCATAACGTAGAATACCCCCACTCCCTGTGTGGCTGACAACTTCTTACTGCTTGGACACGATCCAAATACCATTTCCTTCCCTGAGAAAGTAGCTCCTCGCACAATTTACCCTTTGCCACCTCACCCGCTTTATTTCCTTCCTGGCAATGATCACGGCCTCGTTTACCGCACTCCAAGGTGCTGGCTCTGTGAGGGCAGAATGAATGGCAGTCACACTGGCAGCTGGGACTGGGGACTGGGGAGGCAAGGCTGGAGGCTGGGTCATCCAGGTGAGAGATGAAGCAGGTGTGGCGGAGGCCGGGGAGAAGGTCACATACAAGACTGGTCAGTCCCGGTCACGGTGACAGGCTCTGGGAGGGGGCAGGAGCCTGTGAGTCCTGGAGAGTCAGCATTGCTTGGGGAGCTTGGAAAACAGATCCCCAGGCCCCACGCCTGGCTCTTCTAACTGGTTGGCCGTGGTGGGGCCTGGAATCTATATTTTTATAGGGGTCCTATCACCTGGGTCTCTTTTCCAGTCACATTCCCACCTGCACCATTCCCTTCCAGCTTTCATTCCTACCCAAGTCCCAACCCCAACCCTTGGATGCTGAGCCTCCTGACCCCCACACCCGAGGCAGTGTCTCACTCAGGGCCTGGTGTCCGGTGATGGGCAGATTCAGGCTGGAGACCGGCCTGGGTGGGAAGGGCCACAGCAGGAGACGTGACCCTGGTTTGAAGAGGCTCTTTCCTGTGCCGACTTCGGGGCCGGGACTCAGGTATCGGGGTCCCAGCCTCAGTTCTGTCCCCGACTAGCTGTGCAACCCTGTGTAAGTCACAGGCCCTCTTTCTGCGCTTCGGTCCCTCCATCTACAGGTGAGGGTAGGACCTGGTGATGCTGAAGGGCTACACCCGTGTCCCTCGGGAGATCCCACTGGAAGCCTTGGGTCAGAGGGAAAGCTGCCCCGAGGCCTGCCAGGGTGGCCTGGCTGGCTCACCTGAAGCCGCCTTGTCCTCCGCAGCCTGTGAGCTGGGCTTCTACAAGTCGGCCCCTGGGGACCAGCTCTGCGCCCGCTGCCCTCCCCACAGCCACTCTGCAGCCCCCGCTGCCCAGGCCTGCCACTGTGACCTCAGCTACTACCGTGCGGCCCTGGACCCACCGTCTGCAGCCTGCACCCGTGAGTACCACCCCGAGCCCCAGCATCCTGGAGATCAAGACCGGGCCAGGACCGCATGCTCCCAGGACTCCAGGGACCCAGTCAGTGCTCTGTGGGTGAGGCAGGGACAGGTGGCTCTCTTGGGCCGGGGGCCAGTCTGGGGTAAGGGGGGTGACTCCAACTGACTCCTCCGTGGTGGCCTTGACCTCTCTGAGGTCCCTACTTCTTGTCACATGTCACCTGCCATCTCTACAGGGAAATCCTTCCTTCCTTCCTTCCCTCAGTCTTTCCTCTTTGCTTCGGGGAGCAGACGAGAGCTGGACTCATGCCCCCGCCCGGTACCAGGCGTTTTGGGTCATCTTCTGATCCGGCAGTGATCCTGCTGTCCTGGGAGCTGGGGTGGGCGAGCCAGAGGGTTCCCGTGAAGCAAGGGCCCGTCAGAGGAGCCCCCTAACCGCCGCCGTCCTCGATGGACTGCCTGAGCTGCCTTAGTGGGTGTGGGGTGTGGGGTGAGTGTGTATAGGAACTATGTGTGGCCGCCTGCTTGGATGTGGCATGCGTGTGTCTGATTCTGGGTGTGCCCTGGGAGGCCGGCAGCGATCAGAACACTGTGTGTGTCTGTGTCGGCAGCTGCTCCCGTAAGAGGGGCCCGCATAGTGTTTGTGTGCCTGGGCTCGAGCGTGAGAGTCTCGTGCCCACGTACGTAAAGGACTCTGAGGGGTGCGTGTGCACATGTGGGTCCCTGTAGGGGATTCCCAGGTCCCCGCAGAGCTTGGACGAACGTGCCTTGTGAGCCCAGCGTGTGCGCACGTGGCCCAGCAGGGGAGGCGCGTGTGCCCGGAGAGGGCGTGGTTGCGTGTGCTCATGCCCTGTGCACCTGAGGGGACTCCGAGGGGCTCTGACACCGCGCCTGCAGGGCTGTGTGCCTGGGTGTTCTGTGTGCTGTGGGCGGGGCTCCTTCATGGCCTCCTCTCCTGGTTGGAAGGTGCCTCTCACGCTCCCATCCCGGCTGGGAGGCGTGGCAGCCAGCTCAGCCTACCCCGTTTGCCAGTGCTGGTCTCTTGAGGTGGAGTGAGGGGCACTTCTCACTGGTTTTGCCCCCCAGTCAGTCTCCAGTCTCCCCCTCCCCCCACCTCTATCACACCCAGCTCCCGGGCTCCCTGTACATGGCGTGCACACACACACACACACACACACACTTTGTCCCTCCCTCCCTCCATCCACTGTCCTGCCCAGACCCATGCATTTTCCCCACATGGGACCTGCCGATACAGAAAGGGATGGCTGCGCGATGTGGTGCCTACCATGGGCTTTGCAGGCAAGGTGACCCAGCTCTAGGTCACGGACACTTGTTCTCAGCTAGC